AACTTTTAGTAACATATTTTTTCCATGTCACCCCTCTGTATCTTGCTGCAAAAATCAGCGTTTCGAGCGGTCGTACTAGCTCTAAAGAAACGTCGCGGTGCAGTTAAGGAAATAGCATGTACATAGTGACTCACCAAAAGTGGATTGATTCCAAATTCCATGTGTAGCTCGAAGATGCACGCTGTAATGTTGGGAGACTGCTGTAAAAGAGGTAGCTAGTATTCCCATACTAGATAAGGCTACAGCAGTTCATCCTTTTTTATGGCGGCTTTCAGGTAACAGCGGAGAAAAGGCGGGGCAAAGTAGCTGAACAGGCAGCAATGGTTACTGAATACATCAACATCTAAAATTCCTCTCTCCTTTTCTTCAATTCCAATTCACCTCAGGTCTAAACTTCTTTCTTCAAGCCGATATTAAAGGGCTGATTACATACTTGACCTATTATTGGTAGTCATGGCAAAGGACACTGGGGCTATCTACTTCAATAAGGACAGTGCGGAGTATGGCTTTATGAGCAACATGCATATCGCGCCATTCACCGTTGAGGGTGTCGAGTACAAGTCTACGGAGCACTACTTCCAGGCTGCGAAGGCGCGCCACTTCAAGGACTTTGTACATAGAAAATTCGTACTCGCCGGTGACCCTTTATGTACTGACCAAGGATAGGATGTTCTGCGCGAAATTCTCGATTGCGACAGCCCAGTCAAGGTCAAATCCTTTGGTAAACAAGTGCGTCCTTTTGACCTCAACGAGTGGAATCAGCGTAAGTTCTAGTATCCTAAGAACTATAGCCAGTGCTTATGTCGTGGAGTCAAGGAAGTGGTTATGAAGGAAGGCAATATGCATAAATATGCCAAAAACCCTACCCTCCAAGAGAAACTTCTCGCTACCGGCGACTGCCATCTAGCTGAGTGCAACCCCAGAGATCGTTTTTGGGGAATTGGTGTTGGCAAGGCCAAGGCAGAGGCTGCTGGCAAGTACCCTGGCAAAAATGTTATGGGGCTTATCTTGGAGGATATTCGGAAACACTTCCGGGGTGAAGCTAAGCAAAAATAGCTTCGCAACCAGATTCTTCGGAAAGAGTTCTCTCAGATCTTTGCTTGAGGATGGGCTCTTACTTTTGGAGGGAGCTTAGTCTTCTGTGTACAATGGTGGGTTTTGAAGAAGCCAGGAGCAAGGGGATCGGAAGTGGGAGCAGATGATCAGTCACTGTGGCTCCCGAGCATTTTATTATGAAGAATGATTCCAATCGACGATAGTCGCATCTATTTTGCTTACAGTAATGCTCCGTACCGTGAGCGCCATACACCCATGGGGGAATAGCCGTATTTGAACAAGCCGACAAAATACTCATGGTTCATCCATGAGTTATTTTTTAGCATCAAGGCAGAAGCGGAGAAGGTTTTTAATCTGATCAACTATACGGAACACGAGCGTGGAGTTCCTGCGTGATTGGGCCCATGGTTTTGAAGCTACTCAACATGGGTCCTTGTTCTATGATCTTGATCTATCATACTATCTAACAGCACAAAATCTCCATCTATGCTATTGATAGGACTACCCTTTCACTTCGTGAGTTAAAAATTGCTGAAAGAACCTTTACATCCTCTCCACCAAACAGGCACTTGATTAGTGAATCCCTCATTTCACAATCACGCGAACTCCTTTGCTGCTTCTCTTGGGAAGAGGCACGAAGAAACTGCCCGCCATGTCCACATCGCTCCTATCTGTCTCATACAGCTCCAAATCCACCAACCTGAACAATCCTGCCAGACCTATATACAACTCTGCCAGAGAAAAGTTCATGCCTATGCACATACGAGGGCCCTTGCCGAAGACGGTCAGATACTTGCTTAGTGGATGCCCAGTGGATGCCATGGGGTTATCTAGCCAGCGCTCTGGGATGAACTGATCCGCATTGGTAAACAGTTTTGGATCTGTGACCTGTAGGTAATTGTTCATGCTGAATTCTGTGCCAGGAGGTAGCACGTATTTGCCATAATGAATGACACCTGTTGGATTTGTACGTTGAATTCGAGTACTCAAGCCATAGGAAATACGTAGAGCTGTGAAGGTTAGCTTGGAGTTTTTGAATGTCTGTGGGTTGCTTACATTCTTGCACAACCGCGTTTAGGTACGGTAACTTTTCAAGTTCTGTGAGAGGCAGCAGCTCATCGGGGTTAGGTATAGCTTTCTCAAGCTCTTCTCTCAAGCGCGCTTTAATGCCCGGCGTTTGCAGAATCCAAAAGCTTCCAACGGCGAGTGCCGTCTTTGTTGTGTCGATGCCTGCACCCACAAAGCTCTGCCCTTCTTGCTGCATCACATCCTCGTTCATTTCGCTCCTGTTCAAGTTGGATTTGAGCAGCTCGTGGAAGACAGTGCGATGTTGGACATGCTTGTCTGCATCATTCTCGCCAGCTACAATTCGTCGGATCTGGCCTCTCACTTCCTGTATTTGTTCAGCGGGGTGTATATTCCGAGAGATGAGCAACTTACATGGCGGAATTCAAAAACCGCTTTCATCTTGGGGTTTAACCAAATGGTAAACCATTCCGGTAAGCTCTGAAGCCACTTTGCTATGTTGGGAAAACATGTTGCAAACGGAAATGAGTATAGAAAATTTTGGATAGCCGTTGTAAAAGGCGACTTGAAATCTGGAAAATCCAAGAAATCGTACGATAGACCACAAATGTACCAAGTGAGCACGTCAGCCACATAGGCACCCCAAGCCTCGTTCAGACATACTATCCTTTCAGTCCCCTTATACTGTGTCTCGAGGATATTGCACATTTTCTTGATCCGAGAGTAGGTATAAGGGCTGAACTCTAAGATTTTCTGCCTAGTAAAGAAAGGAGCAATAGCTGCTCGGCGACGGCGATGATGATCGTGCTCGACTATGTCGACTAAGGCTTTTGGGTGTGCAAGGCGATGTTGTAATTGCGGTAATTTGTGGTACTTCGCCTTAAGGTTGAAAAGTTCATTGTAGAACTCCGCATCGCGAATATGTACTTCCGTTGGTGTAATACGAATGATTGGGCCTTCCAACTGAACATCAATATGGTGGTTGTTAAGCACACTCGTGCCATAACTTACCATATTTGTCATGCCATTCTTGAATCTTGAAAATAAATCTTCCGCCCTTTACCACCTCCCAATACGCCTCAACCCAAAAGGTAATTGCAGCAAGCTTGGGACCCGGTATATTTGCAATGGGGCTGAAGAAGAGACGATATACAACTAAACCGACTAAATAAACGAACAAGCCCAATAGGGAGAGCAGGATTATGTTTTGGTTGAAATTCGACAGTGTAGCCATGATGATTAGGACAATTGCCGATACAGAAGAACAATGGCCGATACTGAAGGGCAGATGTCACTGTTTTATATCAAAGCATTCGTCATTCCGCTGTATTTACTCCTGAATGTCTGCCATCCCTTGAAGAAGGCCAGGTAACCATGTGGCGTAGGCTGCGGTCCGACTCAACTCCATAAAAAAAGAACGAACTACCTTGCCCAGTGTACAATCTCTTGATAATTAGTGCATTTCGGCCAAGTTTCTTCTAGCCAGATGAGATCGAAAAATGGCTCAAATCTGTTAGATATGTCATCGATCGGGAAGGCTCAGACATCTCGGAGTTAAAGGTGTCGGTAATCTGATCTTGCCAAACTCTCGGCGTCATACCCAGTATGCATTTTACGATTTCGTACAAAAGTTGTCACTTGCTATGTACAGACGCTGCTTTTTAAGCCCTGTTTGGCCTATCTGTTGAGTTTAGGTTACTTAGCTTTAAGGAGCACTTCACTTGACATGCGATATGCATGCTCTTCAAAGCATAGGAGAACTCGCTATGTCGAGCATAACTAGTAATCAGACACCCGACATCCGAAGGCCGATGACCGACGGCCGAGGTGTGGAAGTTATCTCCGATATCCAGAACCATGCCTTAAGCTTGCCAGGGCAAGCAAATTTGTACATGTCATAAGACCAATTCGAGATGTTTTCCGCGGTCGAGGATACTCAATACTAGCCTGCCGGATCAAAAAAGCGATACTCTACTGCACCGGCCCCTATCCAACCAAAGTCGATGGTGATATGCCAGAAGGTTGGCAACTTCAGAACTCTGCAAAGCCACCACGATACTAAAATTACCATCACTTCCCGCATGTATCGTCTTCTTCATATGCTACAGTAACTATTTTGAGCGGATGATGACTAAAAAGATGAAGGAAATTGATGTTATAGACTGGATGAAGTATGAACTTTTCTAGGGTACTGATTCTTTTCTCCGCCAGGTAAGGTTGTGCCGCAACATGTCTTACTTTTACATTTGGAGTTTAGTATGATGTTTACTACTTAAGCTTTCCGTGAATTACCGACATCCACCAAAAACAGCTATGCGAGCCTCGGAGATATGATTCGGCTCCAATATATTGGCTCTCATCTGACTGCCGAGTATAGTAACAAAGGGGCGTGAATTTCCATCGGATAAGAGATAAGATCATGCCCCATCGGATAATATAAGATCAGACTTTTCATCTAATAATCATCATACGACTACTACCACTCGACTGGGTAAGTCTTGAGCGAAGGGTGGGTGAACCACTAAGGCGGGCTTGACTTAGCTACATCTGTACCGGAGGAAGTTTAGAACTAGCTCTTTTGCCACCGATGGTACATTGATGTTGCACTGTGTTTACTTAACACGGCAGGAGGGTTGCAAGATTCACGTGGGGAAGATAAGCTGGGATAGGGCAGGCCAACTAACACGAGCAACTTCACCCAACACATATATTGCCTGTGTCACAGATATTCGACCTTGTCATTCCCTCAATTGTATTTCCTAAAGATAGCTGAATTACAAGATGAGTTTGAGATCCAAGTGAGCAAAGTCAAAAGCTCTACCAGGCGCCATTGCTAACCCCAATTACAACGATGTAGAAGTCTTGCCTCCGACAAAGAGGAGCATTCTGTACAGGCTGGCAACTATGGTCTTACCTCTGCTCCTACATCACCTAATGCAAATGCAAAGTCCGATAACCCTCACGTCGACGAAAAGTCAGGTGCTCCTCGGTCGATAGAGATAACAGATTCCGATCATGAGTTGGCAAAGATTGACACCTCCGCTCCAAAAGGAGTTCGAGAGATCCAAGCCATGACCTACTCATTGTCTAAGAAAGACCTCATTGCTGCTTATATCATGTATAGCTTACTCTAGATGGATGCTGACTCTAGCTTACCTTTGCCAGGGTGTGGCTAATAGAATTCATGCTTACATGGACTTCAGGCACTGTGGGAACGCTAACCCCTTACATTACTAGCTCCTTCCGGGAGCACTCATTCACGGCGCTTACCGGTGTTATTGCATCCCTTGTCGGAGGCATCTGGAAGCTGCCGTACGCAAAAATCATGAACATCTGGGGCCGTCCCCCCGCTCTTTACCTTGGAGTAGCCTTCACAACCATTGGGATAGTCATGATGGCTGCCTGCAACAGTGTGAAGACATACTGTGCTGCGCAGGTGTTCTTCACTGTAGGCTACAGGTCTATTGACTTCTCGCTGATAGTCTTCATCTCCGACACATCCAAGGTCAAGAACCGAGGATTCTTCCTTGGATATCTTGGTTTACCTTGGCTAATCACCACCTTCCTCTACGGACTTACAGTGGATAGGATTGTCAGTCCTGGTGGAATAGGCCTAAGATGGGGCTTTGGTATCCTCGCCATCCTTGTCCCTATCGTCTGCTTACCGCTGATCGGCCTCCTATATATCAACCAGGCCAAGGAGCAGAAGCAAGGCCTGATCGAACCCCGGCCCACTCCTGCAACTTCCATTCAAAAGCTCATACACTATGGCAAGGAATTCGACGTTGCCGGATTGCTCATTCTTGCGACAGGAGTGGCGCCATTCTTTCTCAGCTTTAACCTCTACTCGTACCAAGCCGAGCGATGGAAGTCTCCCGTGATTATTTGCTTTATCATTTTGGGGGCTCTTCTAATTATTCTCTTTGGAATATGGGAGAAGTACTTTGCATCAATCCCATTCATTCCCTAGCATCTCCTCAAGAATCGCACTGTCATCTTTACATATACCATGGCTGCAACTATCTACATTGCCTCGTCAAGTTGGAGCCCATACTTTCACTCTAGTTTGATTGTTCTTTACAATCAAACCATTGTTCATGCTACCTATGTCAGCAACGTATATGCTATGGGTGCATCCTTCACGGCCATCGTATCTGGTGTCTGCCTACGCTATTATGGACGTGTAAAGATGTACTCCTTCTTTTGGGGAGTACCACTTACTGTTCTAGGCACAGGCTTGATGATTAGATTTCTTCATTCCGATAGCAACATTGGATATATAGTCATGTGCTATCTCTTTCTTTCGCTAGGAACGGGAGTTTTGGTTACCTCAGAGCAGACTAAACTTATGGCTGTTTCCAAACAGGAGGACTTTCCTGCTCTTTTGGTATATAAATCCTTAGTGATCTCTATAGGAAACGCCATTAGATCAACAATTGCCGGAGCGATCTAGACTGGCGTTTTCCCCAGGAGACTATTAACCAACTTGCCAGCAAATGCTTTGCCCGACTTTGCAAAGATTTATGGAAGCCTCCAGGTACAGGCAATGTACCCGATTATATCTCCTATACGCGATGCGATTAACCTGAGCTACGCACAAACCCAAAGGTACCTGCTCATCACGGCGACGTGCATCAACAGTCTCTCGTTGGTCAGCATTGCATTTTGGCAAGACATCGATCTGAAGAACCAAAAGCAATGTACATTTGGTCTTTTGTAAAGAATTCATCAAAAGCTGGGTGTGGCTAACAAGACGCTATTCCTAGGGTGATAGCTGAGAATTGTTTAATCAGGTGCGTGATCAAGAATTAGACTAGCTTTTCAAATGTTTGATTGAGTATTTGAGGCTCTTGTCTGAGTGCGAAGAGCATATGCTCATCAATCCGATCTCGCAGCTCGGAAAATTGTGAGGAACATGGACAAGTTGCTGACTATAGTACGACACTAGAACAAAGTAAACAAATGAATTCCATAGAAATATGCGCTGGGTATGAAAATGAAATTTTGTAAGTCTGATGATATAACAAAGCAAAGGTGTTGGGCAACAATGACGTGTCCAGAGGTATGGACAAATAAACCAGATATTGCCTGAGAAGGTGCACAACGGATTTCTAGCATCTACTCTTGCGTAAATTCTTGCATTCAGATAGCTACGTGCTATCTAAATGCCTTAGGCTTATCACTAGATCATTGAAAAAAGGTTTGAGTATTGCAGGTTGACGGAAGTGAAAGAAGTTATACACATATTAGAGGTAGACAACACAATCAGTTTAGAGCTGCTTCGAATAGCGTAAATATGAATCGTGTAGTTATGTTGTGAAGAAAAAGGTTGACTAGACCCTCGTCACGTCCCCAATTTCTTTTCGCATGCTATTATTACAAGCGTTGCATAATGCATTGTTTCAACATACACTGGAGCAACAATAAGGACTGCTGCGACCTAGCCTGCCAAGAGTTCTTTAATGATTGTATCGGCAATCTTTCCAGCAACCGCATATACGCTCGCGCTCAGATGACCAGATATCTGCGTAGGAAAGGCGCTGGCATCTACCACTCTCACGTTTCGTGTACCATACACCTTGCCCTTTGAGTCAACCACTCCACCCATGTCCCGGCTCATCATTGCGCAAGTACTCGCAGGATGCGAGTTGCCATTGAGAGTCTTCTTGATCCAGACGTCCCAACTTTGGTCTCTCCATCCCGCACCTTGCGGTACAGTTTCGAAACTGGGTGTGACTTCGCCGACGACGTGATCGGCGAGCGGCGCAGTCGCGAAGCATTCACGAATACGAACCGCAGCTGCTGCCTGAACGTATGCATCAATAGGCAACTGAAAGAAGGCAGGATCGATTCGAGGGGGTAGCGTTGGGTCGGTAGCGTTAATATGAATGGAGCCTCGAGAGAGGGGTAATAGATTCCAGAGCTGGGCAGCTATGTTGTTACCTATTGGAGCCCATAAAAGCTCAGCTAATGGGACCTTGCTGTCAGAATCAAAGATCAAATCGACCTGGTGCTTCAGGAGTAGTTCTTGTGTCTCGACTGAAATCGTGTCTGATGGATAGTCGGCAACAATGGCGGCTGCATACGCGCTTAGGTTGGCCCTGACCTCTTGGGTAATTGAATTCAATTCATCTCCGAAAAGATCAGAAGCTGTCAAGTAGGTCACAAAGGTAGGATATCCAGTCCAGTTGGTGGATGAAGAGTAAATGATGCCGTTCTGCGGCTGGTCCGGCAGATTCGAGCCAATCGAACATAGCGGGACAACTGTTTCGATACCGAGGGGCTCGAGAATAGCAGGATTGCCCACGCCAGAGTGTTCAAGGAATGCCGGTGATCTGATGGCACCAGCTGCTACAACAACTTCCTTGCCAGAACGGATAATCTTGGTAACATTGCCTACAGTGACGAACTCGACACCAGATGCAAGCATTCCACCCCCAGTCTTGTCATTTTCCCAGATAATCTTCTTTGCTGTGGAGTTGAGAAAAACGTGTAAGTTTGGTCGAGATGCGACAGGGTAGTAGAAGGCCCTTGCTCCATCCTCACGTGTTGGCCCAGCTTCGCTCAATGTCATGGGCCATGTGTTGAAGCCACGCATGATGCCACTGTTCGCATCTTGGTTGTAAGGGAATCCAATTGCCTCCGATGTGTCTTTCATCAACTCAGCGAAACCTTGGCCGACAAGATATGGAGTAAATCCCACAGCAAGATCGCCGCCATTTCTGTGCGCGCCAGCCTCATAGACTGCTCCCTTTTGCTTAAGTTGATCGATAGGCGGCTGAAAATGCTCTTGTTTGAGAAAGTACTCCCACATACTATCCCAGTTCCATTCTTGATTTCCCAAATCTTGCCAGGCGTCGATCTGGTCCTTCTCGGCACGTAGATATGTCATGCCGTTAATGGCCGTACTTCCGCCCAACGCCTTTCCCGCCCAGTATGGAAGTGTGTTGTTGGCAGCATATCTTTGAGGCACAGTCATGTAGCCCCAGTCAGTAGAGGTTCCGATAAAAAGTCCGTATTCAGCGATAGATTTTGGAACATATGTCACATTGGGATTGTCGTATACGGAATCTCCGGCTTCAATCACCGCAACAGTGATGTTTGGATTTGCCGACAAGCGGTTCGCGACAACAAGTCCTGCCGCACCTCCGCCAACAATGACATAGTCGAAAGAATCAGGCTCACACGCGGCAGAGACAATTCGGACCAGACTGAGGAAGAGGAGGTGGCGTAACATGGTGAGCAGAGAGGGTGTGAGGGGTGTGTCTGGAACAGAATCTTACTTCTTGTACCAGAAACATGTACAATTTACCAAGGAAGAGGATCGTCCGATGCATCTGCTTGCAGCGTCATAGTGGCAGCGTCGTAGTGTTAGACTAGCCATTGGCTAGTTGCGTCATTGCCAAGCTTGGCAATGTAAGTGGTGGCCTAACTTTCTGTCAACTCGTGCTCAGCGGAATGATGTACGAACCATGCAGCAATTATAGGTATCAGTAGTAGCGGTGAAGCAGAGGCGGGTGTGAAATCTTTCAGGGCCATTATTATCTCTGATACTATTCTGAAAAACGGGACTTAACGCGTGTATAGTGTTGGATGTCCTTTCATTCAGTGTCGAATATGATGCTGCCGTAAAGAAAATCCAACGCTACGCCTATAGTAGCAGGTCGACTTGCGACTAGTGATGACGCGTGGTGGTGGCTTTTTTGAAGGGCATGTAGTCGAATGCTCTGCATGAGCACAGGCATACAAGCCGCATGTACCACTCCCTACGCCCGTTTCAACATCCTCAAGGTCATTTTGTTCACACCCATTTCTTTCTGACCGTGGCATTGGTCAGCGTCATCTCTCGGTTCCTTGCCAGCATGACAATCCTTGGTGTTGCTTAACATTACACCCAGATTTTATGATCAGACTGCCTGAACGAGCAGAGTACGCGGCTGCTTAATTCGTTGAGCACATACTTCACTGTCAAGGAATACGTACTTTGCTATCACGAAAACTGGGGAAACCCACCTGCGCAAAGCCCTTAATTATATCACAACGTCCTACATGTTTGTCGCATCGCTCAAGTCTTAGGTACGCGATATTGGCATGAAGAAAAGCCTAGTGCGTACTATTTGCATAGTGATCATCATGCAACGATGAGCACCTATGTATCCAAAATAACAATTCCCCGTTGCTACGAAGTTTGCCAGACAATCCCAAAGTCAGGCGAAATCTATTCCCTGCCGCAATCAGCTTCACTAAGCGCTATGACACGTCAGCGTAGTCCTACTCCAAATCTCATTGCCACTCATCTCGTACTCCAGCCCCTTGACATGCTGCCTCACAGCCGCATTGCACTCCCCAGGAGATAAGAAAGCCTGGATCTCCAGCAACAAGGCCCTCGTCGCCTTCGTCCGGACCTCAATCACGAAAGCGCGCTTTCCCCACAGCCTGGCTCCAACTCAGAAACCCACCTCGTACGTCTCCGTCGCCACCAACGGGTGCAAGACGCTCGACGTGCCTCCAGAATACGTTGGCAACGTCGTCTTCTGCAGCATGACCGAGCTCCCCCTCTTCGAATTTCTCTTGCGCAAACCCCGGTAACGGCAACGGCGGCGATGCACCACTGGCGGCCTCGCGCTGCGCATCCGCAAAAAAACGTGGAGACGGGCAAGGACCTGGCGCTGCTTCGCGATGTAGTCGCATTCACAGCATGCATCCCGGATGTACGCCCGCTATTTAATGCGTTCCGAAGCTGGTTTGGCAGAGATCTGAGTGACGACGCCGTTGGTGGATCTTCGTTTTACCATGTCGATTTTGGGCTGGTGTTTGGAATAGGAAAGCAAGAAAGGGGGGTGGGCGGGAAAGACGGACGTGTTAAGCATATCCAGGGACCAGTCTTTTGGCATTTTCTCTGTTCAGCCAGGGCAGCTGGATGAGGTAGGCGACTTTTCTTGTTTCGATGAAGCAGGAGCAGATGGTGAGGTTGCAGCCCTGTACTGAGGCCCATGGGCGGCCTCACAATGCGGATGCCGGCAACGGACCGCCTTCCGGGGCTCGAGTTCCACCGAGCCGCTTCCAAACAACTACACGCCGACCGAGGGAGGGGGCAAAATGCTGTAGACAGGCCGGGTCAATGTCTAGCATATAGTAGCATGCACTACACCATATATCTGCTTACGTAGTACTAGTACCGACTCAAGCCTAGGGAGAGCGGGCGAACTCAAGGCCCCGGTCCCGAGTGGCACGGTCGACGCCTAGCAGCACACTAGTAAGTAAGTAATGGTAGTAGTAGTAGTAGTAGTAGTAGTAGTAGTATGTAGACTATTCAACACCATGTCTGACGCCCCCATATCTGCCTGCCCTTCCGTCTAAATGCCTTCCTCACTCATCCTTACCCTCACCCTCACCCGTCTGTAATCATGACGCCCTCGCCCAAGACGGTCCTCATCACTGGCTGCAGTATGGGCGGCATTGGCTCAGCACTTGCCCTCGAATTCCACCACCGTGGCTTGCATGTCTTCGCTACCGCCCGCAGCCTCGACAAGATGGCCCACCTGGCCAACCTTGATCGTCTTACCCTGTTGCAACTCGACGTCACCTCGCAAGCCAGCATCTCCACTGCCGCTGCCCAAGTTGGCAAGACCACTAGCGGTTCCTTGGATATTCTCATCAATAACTCCGGCTCCCAGTATATCACTCCTGCCATGGAAGCAAACCTTGATGCTGCCCGCTCCATGTTCGAGGTCAACGTCTTTGGTGTTGCCGCTGTCTGCCAGGCCTTCATGCCGCTCATCGCAACCTCCCGTGGAACTATTGTCAACGTCTGCTCCATCGCTGCTCACGTGCACACTCCCTGGATGGGCTTCTATGGCGCCTCCAAGGCTGCCGTCGAGGTGGTGAGTGAGACGATGCGCCTAGAAATGGCCCCTCTGGGCGTCCGTGTCATATCCCTCGTCGCCGGAGCCGTCGCCTCCAACATCATGACCAACGGCGCCATCCTAGAGCTCTCAGATACATCGCCATTCAAACCTGCCGAGAAGGAGATAGTGGCTCTAGCTAAAGGCCAAGACGGCCATGCTCGCATGCCCACTGACACATTTGCTAAAAAGGTCGTCGATGATGTGCTCGGTGGTGTTCAGGGAAAGCTGTGGAGAGGACAGATGGCTTCAACCATCTACTGGCTCACCAAGCTCACGCCCTTGTCAGTATTGGTAACTTGAGTCTTCATACCCACATTCTTCGCTTTCGACTCACCATTTGTAGGACAAATTAATATCCAACGATTCTGGCTTAGATCACCTAGCCAAAAAGTAGCATTCTTGATTTCTGTCCCTCCAGTCAACTGCTTTATCCGAGTGACTGCTCTCGGATCATTATTCAGGGTCATACGCTAGATTCTATTCTCATGTTGTGTGTAATTGCTTCCTTTTTGATCGTTTTGATCTGGATAAAGTTTTTTATTGTTTGCCAAACGCGCAACGCCACCAACAGCATAACCAGGATACTTTATCCTGGGTGGTGAATTACAAATGCTACATTTTCAGCAATGCGGAAGTAGTACCGCATCATATTACGATTACATGCATTAGCCAATAAATCTCTTCCCTGAGCGTTGATCGAACTAAGAGATACACACAGCGCTTCGACGACTTAGCTTACTAGAGATTACTACCCAACCTCAGATTCGTTATCAATACGGCTGTTAACGCGGGTCTTTATGGTGCGATATAGTTTCATGAATATGGTGGGCAGATACGATATTCGCTCAGGGCGGAGAAGAGGATAGCTGTGCTGGAGACGTGCCTACGACCACGCAACCTCCTTGCGTGTTGGTCTCGGCACCCGCGTCCAACAGCATCTTGACTATCTGTTCGAGACCTCTAGCTGAAGCAGCCCGCAGTGCGTTGCCACACTCTCCGCCCTGTGCGTTAGCGTCGGCGCCTTTGTTAAGTAGTATCCTAACTATCTGCTCGTGGCCCCCTTCTGATGCTGCATACAGCGCGTTGCTATACATACCGCCTTTTAAATTGACGTTAGCGCCATTTTTAAGCAGCATCTCTACTATATGTACACGCCCCCCTGCAGAAGCTGCCTGCAGTGCGTTACCGTAGGGGCCTCCCTGTGCGTTAACGTTGGCGCCTTGGTCTAACAGCATCTTCACTACATGCTCTAGGCCTTCTGAAGAAGCAGCCTGTAGTGCGTTACTATAGAACCCGCCTTGTGCATTAACGTAAGCGCCTTTTTCAAGCAGCATCTTGACAATTTGCTCACGGCCTCCTGCTGAAGAAGCTGCCTGCAGCGCATTGCCGTAGAATCCACCTTGCGAATTGACGCTGGCACCTTTTCCAAGCAGCATCTCGACGATTTGTATTTGCCCTTCTGCAGAAGCTGCCTGCAGTGCATTGCCATCGCGTCCGCCTTGCGCGTTCACGTCGGCGCCTTTGTCAAGCAGCATCTTGACTACCTGCTGGTGTCGTTCGGCACAGGCGGCTTGTAGCGCGTTGGCATATGCGCCCTTGGCCATATGAAAGTTGACATCGGCCCCTTGATTGAAGAGATGATGTGCGATGCTTTCGTGGCCTGCTTCGGCTGCTAATACAAGAGCTTCCCCCAATCGCCTCATTGAAGGGTCAACCCACGCTCTTTTCTCTAGTAGCTTGCACACTGTGCGTTCTTGTCCATGCGCAGCTGCCCACAGTAGCGCAGAGTCGTTGGAGCATCGTATGTTGTGGTCGTAGAGGTATGAGTTCGTAAGGTGGTAGAGGAGACGATTGGTTCGCGCAAATGCGTTGAGATCGCTTTCTGCGTGCAGGTGCTGGGCTATAGCGCAGAGAAGCTCGCGGGGTAAGCTGGCTAGTGGCATGTTGGAATTTGAGTAAGTGGTGTAGTAGTCTGCTTAATCTGCTTAACACAATGCTGTACGCAAGTACAAAGCGACCAGGATATGCTTTGCTAATTAGTAACAAAATTCAACAGCACAGCCAGTTGATACACGGCTGTAGGCAACAGGTGGGGCGCAGCTCAGATGGTGCTTAGGTAGGCAGAAAAAGAGCCCAACCACGAAGGTCATACACGGAGACCAATGTCCCAAAAGGTATTAGACGCAGTTTCTGCAGCCTGACTTTTCTCAGTCTTCCAACGACGACTAGCACCTAACCTATAACGAGAAATACGCCGCCTCTGTCTTTTCCACATCTTTGGTTTTCGTATCTTGGGAACAAGAACTCACAGGCGTCGCGACATCACTCTACGATTCCATCTCCATACGTGGCAGGATAGATGGTATGCAGTCATGTAGTTCTGTTGGCAGTAGATTCAAGTGCCCCAATTATAAATCCTCTCCAACTGAATTGAATTCCCACTCACGTTTCCTCAAGAACCCAACACGAAGGGTGTCTTGTGTTGCTCCCATTGATTGCTCCCACTACGAGTTATCTTCTTCTTCCATTATCTCACGGTCGAGCTCCTTGCTTTCGCGCCATTGTGTCGAATCTCTCAATCGGCAGATAAAGCTTGCTATCCGTTCGCATTGCCTCCAAATGCGCACACGATTGCGTATGCCCGATAAAGGAGTCTTTTCGGGAGTCAAGGAATGCCATAGATGGACCCAATTCACATCTGTTGTATGCTGATGGCCATTTGGAGGCAAGGAACAGATCCAGCCCTCGACTCCTCTGCGGAAGTCCTGCCATACACGAAGCGACCATTCCAATTAAGAACCCACTATTGCCTCTCTGCGTACGAAGTTGACTAATTGAACGGTCCTACCAACATCACTCATGTTTGGATCATCAGCTGTGATTTGCGCCCAAATCTCAGTCTCGGCCTTGCGTGTTTCTAACCCGAGGGGTAACTCAGGTGGAACAAGACTGGGCGGATTACATGGTTCCCAGGTTACCGCCCAATCTGGCGACGCTGGATATGGTCGGCCTTCGGGAACTTCCCAGAACCAGCTCATGTCCCTAATAACGCGGCGTCGGTACAAAGGTTGTGCATGACGGCGAAATGTGCCGCATGTGGCTACTATTGCGCTTACGCCCAGGTCATCCAAGAAAGCGAAAATGTTATCGAGAAGTTCAACCGGTAATTTGAACAAAGGCGACTGCTCTTGTTATACTACAGCTCCAGAGGTATCACTGATGAGGCAGTTCTCCAGGACTTTCGCTAGTCCCGGTATCTCCATGGGGTTTGCGACCATCCATTCGTTACCGGCATGGTGGCTAAAGGGATCAATTTCGTTTGTTTTCCCAATGCCAGGATAGGGCGAATTGACCTCATCTGCGAACCCAAACCTCGCCGGATTGCTGCACATCTCCCGCCAGAGCCAGATATCATGCAGATCAACATGGCCTAGCCGGCGATACGATGCTTTGGCATACATATCAAGACAATAAGAATGAACTGGGAGTGGTTCCCATGAACCACGATCCTTGAGCCTATCAGCTGTGTACACATAGCAATGTGGCTTCCATGGCACTTACCCAACAGCCCTTGTTGGCACTATTCGCTGATACCGGGACTCTGTCAAGTCCATAGCGTGGTGGATAGACAAATTGGCCCGCCATCGACTCGTAGGAGCCGTTTGCTTCTCCCGAAAGCACAAATAGGCTGTCTTTTTCGAAGATATTATCGACAGCTTCAGGCTTCCAATCAGGTGGAACCCAATGAGAGGGTTTTGGCAGGAGGAACCTGTGGTTCCGGCAGCCCTTCATCTCCGCTACGCTCAGCTTATGGCCGTTGATGCCTTGTACACTCTGACAAGTGGGGCTAGCGATATGCTCCAGCGGGAATCGAGGTGGGCCATGTTGTTGATCCTGCAGCCTATCTTTCAGGTATTGAAAACGTCGGTCTCGAGTGTACAGATACCTTCCGTCGCTATCCCAGGTGTCATGCGTAGGACAAATTTTCAATGGAGATTGATGAAATTCTCGTACGATACTGCGATAGTTCGCACGCTCTTTGTCAGCAGTATCGCAATCATTGCTTTCAGACAAATCATCAGGTCCGACATCTGCATCAGCGTCGTACTCCAAAGACTCGCTGTCTGCGCATGAGTTATCATCTGGCAACCATTCGGCGTCCTCCTGATCCTCAAGTCTGTCTCTATAACCGTCGCTGGGGTCGTGCTGAAACACTGCAGGAGTACGGTCGGCAGTTGTGCATTGCTGGGAACTATGGTCTTCGACAACTTCACCGTAATAATTTCGTATAGCCTCGAATCCCACGTAGTTGCATCCTGTATAGTCCCAGGCGGCAGTTGGCGGCTTGTCAAGGGTTCGGATGCGTGCAATGGCCATGTCCATGCTACATATCTGACAATAGTAAGTCGTCATGATTGTTGGGAATCACGATTGATTTCTGCTTGGGAAATAGATGAACGGGCATACGAATGCTAAAAAGAGACAGTACTTCTGTGATGCCGAGTTTGATGGCGAGCACTGGGTAGACAGTGAACACTGCCTACTTAGTCTCGGTTTTACTACCGTGTTCATGCGCGCAATGCGCGGATTCGTTGGAGCATCGTATGTTGTAGTTGTAGAGGTATAGATTCGCAAGCCAATAGAAGAGATCATTAGTTCGCGTATATATTTAGGCTATAGCGTATTGAACATACAAGATAAGTTAAGCAGTTGTTTCATAAATCCCTTTCTTCGCTCTAATATAGAGCGCGTGGATTAGGATTAATTTAAGCAGGTAGTTAGTGTACTTTGCTTGACATAACGCTGTTCGCAACTAGATGGAACTCAAAAAAACACTAGGCCAAGTCGAAAATTGATAGCCATGACACTTTTCAGTATTTCATTCTCGATATCTGATTTTCGAATATTTAGCATCTAGAAATCATGTTACATGAGCTATAGAAGCTCAAATACGTAGCACAGTATACCAAGCGTTTATTTCACGAAGCAGAGCCTCTGATACTTCTGGCTCCGTAGTTAAGTTCAGTACTATAGCTCACGTCAGCACGAGATACGCTAAAATAAGGAAGCAGTATAGTGCATGATGTGGATGTGGTCGTGTTACTTTATTTATAGCGGCGCGCAAAGATATACTGCACGCAGGGGATGCGGGCATTGGAGATGATCCTCGAATTTTGCCTTTCGCAGATGATGGCAGTACCTACAGTTGGCTTAGATCATCGTCTTTCATTGAGATTATTAGAAGATATAATTCATCATTATACTATAGTAAAGCAGTCGAGATACGCACACTACTGACCCCCCATGGAGTGATATACTATCAAACACCAAACTGAGCCGGATTAGCAAGTTCTCGGGTCGTAGTTGTACCGAGAAGCAGATTATGAAGGGTGGTCCAAAAAACCATCGTGCCGAGCGGGGCATCTGATACTGGTCAGTGATGCAGTAGCATTGTAAAGCTTGGGTGAGGCGGCTGCTTATTCGAGCACGAGCCGCACAACATCAGTCAAACATCAGACGTAAGAGAAATTTCAAGTGCAGATTATAAATTCATGTAGTAGTAGGTGGGCATTTGAAGACGGGAAGTGTGAGCAAGCAACGGCGCCAGCGTACCCCAAACAATTCCCGACCTGCACAACGCCACAGGACCAGTGTGCACCCAGAGACGAAGAAAGCAACTCTGATACCCCAAGCCGACTGCAAGCTGTGCGGCAAACTTCACCTCAGCGCTTGGCTAGTACTATCGTAATTGCTATTGGCTCATTGACTAATCATAGGTCCCTTAGAGGGAAGAGTATACAGTAGCTAGTGTAGGAATTAGTGACACTATTCGTGAACTTTCAAGGTTTTGTTCTTACATTGATGGTGTGCCTGGAGAGGAGTCCGAGGAAAAAATCCCCGGTCGTAATCCTCGCCTTAGCCTTGGATGGGTGACGAAGATAGACCTAAGATATTTTCAGACGGTGAAGATATCACCTATGATCGGGACGGCGGCACTGAAATCGCATCGAGAACCTATAGTGAAGAACATTGAGGAGTATATGACATTGCTGAGGATGGTGCCAATCTAATCTACAAGATTCCGGGAGATTAGAAGCTCCCCTGACCTTCTCAAATCCTGATTGCTCCATTCTGTATCCTTCCAATGACCGATGTCCACCTCATCCGTAGATGAAAAATCAGCAGCCACAGCCACAGGACTTGCAATCACCCTTGGCACACTTGGCAGCCTTGTTGTTGTAAGACCATTCGCAGTCCTGCCACCTGCCACAGGGAGTCCAACCTCCATTGCCACTTTCGTATGCAAGCCAGCACCAAGTCTTCTTGAGACCAACGTCAGCATTGACAAAGGGGCCGTCGCAGTTCCTCCAGCACCAGCCATTATCACACCCATAATCGTAGTCGTAGCCCGAGCCACGTCCTCCCTTTGAGCAAACACCCCGTTTAGCGAGCGCTGCAACCTCGTCGAGAAGTTCTCCGCGCTTGGAGGAATTGGCGACCTCCGTCTCTGAAGTTGGGTCGTACAGAGGACTGGCAATTCCAAGTTCAGAGGGATGCTTCTTGCACTTTCTGAGAGCAGAAACATCAGTGCCTTCGGGTAGGTTTGCTGTGTCCCACTCCATAACTCCGAGTTCGCCACAATCCTCAGCAGTGGCTTCGACTGCAGATGTAGTTGGAGAGCATAGAGCTCCGGTAGCGGCGAGACCGAGAAGAATAGACAGAAGCTTCATTTTTTTTAGGAGCTGAAAGTGAGAGACGCTGTTTTGATGATAGTTGTTTGTGTAGTTGAGAGCTGTGATAGAAGTCCAGCAGCACAACGGATGCCCTTTATACGTTGAGGACCTTGGTAAAGCTGTTCTAGATACTTGCTACCAGAAGTCCTTGTGGTTGCTTGACGAACTCGGCTCCACGAGGCCCCCTGACCTGAGATTCTGTCTACACTGTTGGGTTTCGTGATTGGAGTCTGATCAGGTTAATTTGATTCTAGGGTATACGAGTTACCCACTCTTTGGCATAAGTATGCCTCCGGGAACCCAGGGTCTTGGTCATCTGTTTGAGAATTAATGGATTTTTTACATAGCCAAAGACATAGAAACAACTTGGAAAAAACTCTGATTAGAAGTTCAATTATAACAGATTTTCATTCCCCGTACCCGTTACTTCCAGTCTCACTGTTTATGATGTGAAGGAGGTTGGCGATAGCAACTAGCATTCCTCCATACATTACTATCCTTGTTAGCTAAGCCATAACGAATGCGACCCACGGAACCTCCATACGACTCGCTAAACACTGCCTATCTTTGAGTACTTCGTTGTCACCTAACCTCGAATTTTTCACCAAATCAATGAACCTACTTGTTGGTTGTAACATTGCGCTAACCCAACATGGAATCTCATTCGATCTGTGATCCCTGAGGCTAGAGGGCCTTGCAGTAGCTTAGCGAACTTGGCTTCAAAAGGCCCACTACGAGACCGTATTTGGAATCGCCTTGCTGAGTCTTTCTGGAAAGTTATACGAAAAGCTCGTATTTAGTACGTAAATGGATTTTTTTTTTTTTTTTTTTTTTTTTTTT